AATATAGGTCAACTGGCGATTTACTTACATACGTCACTCACTTATGGCAAAAAGCGATTGAGTTGCGGGGTGAAACAAGAACCATTGCCTTAGATATATCTAAAGCATTCGACAAAGTTTGGCATGAAAATCTGCTCAACAAGCTCAAAGCAATGGGATTATCGCCGAAACTTTGCACTTGGTTTGAAAGTTACCTAAAGGACAGATCCATTTATGTTGCACTGGATGGCCAGAACTCCAACTCTTACCAAATAAATGCTGGTGTGCCACAGGGAGCAATCCTTTCGCCAACTCTTTTCCTGATTTACATAAATGACCTCATAGATAAAACAGTAAATCCACTTTATTGCTTTGCAGACGATGGCAATGTAGTCTCCTCACTCATACCACCCACAGGTCTTTCCGCACGTGAATTCCATCATCTTAGACTAACTCAAATATCGCAGATAAATAACGACCTGGAGATAATAGAGGACTGGGGGTAACAAAAACCTTGTACAGTTCAACGCGCAGAAAACCCAAGCAGCTCTGTTTTCAAAAAAGACCAGCACCGGTGAGCCAAACATCATGCTATCTGGAAGTGCTGTCACATTACAGAGTCAGTTGAACATCTTGGGGGTTACTGCAGAGACCAACATGTCTTGGCACAGTCACGTGGCAGATATTGCTAAAAGGGCCTCCCAAAAGCTGGGGGTGCTATTTCGTACAAGACATCTGTACACACCAAGCCAATTGCTGACACTCTACAAAGCCCAGATTCGACCAACTATGGAGTACTGCTCACATATATGGAGTGCAGCACCCAAACATACCTTAATGCTTTTGAATACCGTGCAAAAACGAGCTATCAAGCTGATCAATGACCCCGCACTTACTCGTAACTTGGATGGTCTCGAATATCGCAGATCTGTGGGCGATTTATCTCTCTTCTACAGGTACTATCACGGAAAATGCTCTGAAGAGTTGGCACGTATGATTCCACCGAGAGTAGCACCTACCAGGCGAACCCGTCAAACAGACGGCAACCATGAATTTACTGTCAAACTAGAGGCACCAAGAACCTCATTATATCAGAATTCATATCTCTGGAGAACAGCATCGCTGTGGAATAAACTCCCTGCGACGGTTTTCCCTGCAGGTTACAACCTGAACCGTTTCAAGACCAACATACACCGACATTTCCGCGCACTTGCCGCTTCTCGAGCGTGATAGGACATTTCCTTGCGAGTGCGCATATCCGTAAAAAAAAAAAAAAAAAAAAAAAAAAAAAAAACCTTCTTATGATACTTTCAACACAAGTGGAATAATCACAGTTAAATCAATTTCAAAAACCCCGGTTATTATCATTACAAAACTAAATAATAAATACATATAACCATCGTCACTCTGAAATCATCAAAGCAAAAGTGATCGGTTTTTGTTGAACTGGTGTAAACATTAAGTAGATTAGGATAGGATTTTGTAAAAACTATGAATAAATATCGAAGAAGTAGTTTCATTGTATACATTTCAAAACTTGCCACCCAGATTATCTGCGTGAAGAGACAGATTTGTGAAAATCGCCGAAAATTGTCAACAAATTTATTCAGAGGGTTTTAAACTCGGTTTTAAATAAAAAACAATCCCCTCAATAAATTGGTGTAAATGAGTAAATCTCTATTACTACTTTTATACAGGGTGTTTCATGAATATCGATTATCGAAACAGAGGCGTTTTAGGGTATTCCGCACATCATTTTTGTATTCGAGCGGGAAACTTTTTGACCCCATGGGTATTTCGCTAGGTTGGACCCTCTGGGTGGGGTCACTTTCACCACTCTTTTCTAGAGGGAAGATGGGTGGAGTGGTACCTTGTTTTAAAGGTATTTTGATTCTCGTCACAAGTGCGAGCTGTTTTTGAAAATCGAATGATTAGTTCTCAAGATATTTATGTCAAAGTTGCCATGGGCTCAATAAGGAACAATCTTCTGGCCCTGTTAGGGAAGCCGCACATCAATGAAACATGAAACGTGAAACATGAAACATAAAACGTGAAACTTGTTTCATGAAAATAGAACAAGAACAAACAAATACAAGTCCGCCCACCAATGAAACGAATTTGTTTCATGCGCGAGAAACATTTTTATTACTTGAAAGGTGTTTCATGAAATAGATCGCGTTCTATTTTTCCGTTTCAGTTTCACAGTTTTTGGTCATAAATACATTCATAAAAAAATAATAACGACCAAGAATTTAATATTGTGTTCGTTTCAGTGGTAGAGCAAGATGGAGAATTGTATAAGTATAACATGGAGAAGTACTCGAATAGACAATCACAAGAAAAAGCCTGCCAAAATATTGCCTAACAGGTAGAAAGTACATTATTGTATGGATGTACCCAGTAACGTCGTTTCCTTTATGTTTTTGGCTTTTTGACGATAATAGAAAAGTTGCCACAACAGCAGTTGTTGTTGCTCGTCAACACTTTCCATTGTGTGCTACCCTCTATACTCCACTACACTACCAAAAGACTTAGCAAACATTATTCTTGTTTCTTCAATTAGTATGCAAGAAAGAAACGGTTTCACTTTTCGTAATTTATTGTTTCATGTTTTACGTTTCATGTTTGATGTTTCACGTTTCATGTTTATTTGATGTGTGGCCTGCCTTATTCTCAAACTAACACTTTCCTGACTTTCCTTTCGGACACGTCAATTTTCATTTTCTCAGAAGCACACTGAGAATAACAGAGCCAGAAGATTGGCAACTTTGACAGTGAATATCTTGAGAACAAAATACCTTTAAAACAAGGTAGCACTCGACCCATCTTTCCTATCTGAAAAGAGGGGTGAAAGACACCCCACCCAGTGGGTGCACCCTAGCGAAAAACCGATGGGGTCGAAGAGTTTTCCCCTTGAATACAAAAATGATGTGCGATTTTTTTTAAATCGACCTTGAAATACCCTAAAACGCCTTTGTATCGATGTTTGTGAAACACTCTAACATTATACAGGGTGTCCCACCGGGAACCAAATCGATCTATATATGAAAAATTTTATGTAGAAAATTTTTGAAAATCTGACAGTATACTATTGTCAATGGGGGCAACCCCGCTCAAAGATTTTCAAAATGTTGGCTTTTCTGGTGATACCGGAACTTGCTTATTGTGAATGAGATTATGAGATACCCTGTATGTGTTTGCAAATTTGGATTCTATCTAAAATTCTAACCAGATTTCATGACATGTGATATATAGTGTGATTTTTCAAGTGTGCAACATATGGGAATGTTTTTTAGTAATAGCACAACCCAAATACAAACAAGGCCAAAAGTTGGTGCATGTCTGATAATCATATTAGGTGCACTTAGATTGGTTGCAAGTCAAACAGCATACAGGGTAGCTCAAACAATATCAAAACTGTACTGTGAAGTACCCTTATTTTAGAAAATTCAGCAAAATGTTATAGAGAAAAGTTGTTTGGAATTAAAAGTTACGCCTAAATACCAAAACATAACCTCGTAAGATTTTTTTTATTTTCTTTCGAAAAAAATCTATAATTTCTATATTTTTTTTATTTTCTATTTCCGCCCTCAATACCTTTAGAAATTAATTAAAATCAAATCAATTTTACATAACTTTGTTCAAATCCAAGCATATTTGTAAAATTAACTTAGATTTTTAATTTTTTATGGAATCACAAAATTTATGTTTGTTGCAATGATATTCAACACAACTTTAAAATGGCAATTTTTTTTTAACAAGTAAAAACATTACTAATGATAATAGCCATATTAAAAAAACTCTCCTTAAAGTGCAAAAGTTTTATTTTAATTAAGTAAATATTACTACAATTCTGATATTTTTTGAGCTACCCTGTATGCTGTTTGACTTGCAACCATTTTAAGTGCACCTAATATGATTATCAGACATGCACCAACTTTTGGCCTTGTTTGTATTTTGATTGTGCTATTACTAAAAAAAATCCCATATGTTGCACATTTAAGTAATGACACTGTATATATATACTAAACCTATCGTCAACTGTTTCGGAATTATTGACAATTGAAAATTGATTTTTTGCAACTTTGACAGGCTGTAAAACGGTTAATTTAAGAGGAAAACCGATTTTACATTCCTATTTTAGATTTTTATAAACTATCATTTGATAGCAACTTTGAATTTAACCGGAGATTCAATTGGAACTTTCAATCATGGATTAAATTCAAAGTTGGTGTCAAATGATAGTTTATAAAAATCTAAGACAGAAATGTGAAATTGGTTTTCCCCTAAAATTAACCGTTTAGGTTTTACAGCCTGTCGAAGTTGCAAAAAGTCAATTTTCAACTGTCAATATTTCCAAAACAATTGAACTTAGGCATAGGGTATATCACATGAAATCTGCTCAGAATTTTACGTAAAATCCTAATATGCAATCACATATAGGGTGTCTCATTTAAAATAACTAAGTAGACGTCTACTTCCGGTATAACCGGACGGCCACCATCTTGAAAATATTTTAACCGGGTTGCCCTCATTTATATTAGTATACTGTTGAATTTTCAAAATTTTTCTGGGACACCCTGTACAAGAATCTTTCAAATTATAATGGTTTCGTGGAAGAGCAGTAATTTGAACATCGCCATCATTTACCAAAAATGTTTTGTTTCATTACCTACTATATTATTTTCTTTAATCTGAAATAAAGACATTTTGTATTGTATTGCACTGTGAACAATTAGGTGATGATTTAAAATATTCTAATCTGAAATTTGATGGCAAAATTATTATTTTACATTTTTGCAACCGTAAAGTAGCTTCTCATCGCACTAGTACCATGAAGTAATATCAATGTCTTGAATATTTATTTAACAAACACCTGTAAATAGATTTTATCACTACGGGAACATATTCCAAGAAACTCTCCTAAACGAATCTTTCAACATTTAAAAACTTTCACAAAGAGCCTCAACAATAAGTCTCGTGGTCTAGAATAATAAAAACTTCAACAATTTTACACTTACCAAGAAGATTAAAGCCCAAATAAGTACAGTCCTCCAGCCGTATAGTGCTGCTCAAAAGGTAATCGGTACCATCAAATTCACCGTCCGAAATGGTACTCATTTCTCCAGGACTTAACGAATAAAACGACGAAGGCATTTTTAAGTAACTGCAGTAGTATCTTATTACTCACGACGATTGAATTTCAACAAATAAACTTTGACACTACAATGTAGATAAATATTGTGCGAGATAAAATCCACTTTTGTTGATGATATGGATTTTTTCTTTCTAAGTCAGTTACCTCAGGATTTGAACCGGTAGAATAGGTACTAGCCGCCAAAATGGTACAACCGACACTGAAAGTAAACACTAGATAATATGGATGAAGAAAACAAGCAATTAAAATTAAATTTATACCAATAATGGGTGGAGGGGATATTCTTTATATTTATGTAAGATTTATCATTTTCGATGATAAGCTGCAAGCTTTAAATTACAATTTAATTTCGAAAATTTATTATTACCCTGAATTTTTATGGTACGGTGTTTTGTTTCTAAGGAATAATATTTGCTTTAATTGGAAAGTGGTTATACACCACCAGAATTCGGAATCTTTGATTCTGATTAGAGAATTTTTAGAGTCTAAGAGGATTAATGATATATACCTACTATGTACAGGGTGTATCCTAAAGAACGTCCTTGACTTTATAGTAGGATTTCGAGTAGGTTATTGAGTTATTCACTTGATAACGACAACGACTGCAGATAAAAGACAGTCAAATGTTGTGACTAAAAACCAAAAGGTGAGAATAAATATTCAAATTGTTTTATCATAGCATGTGTTTTATTTATTAAAATAATTCTTACGACGACTCTCAAACAATCACAAACGTTTACCGTTCAGGAGAAAAAGGCAAAAAAAAACGATATTTTTGACATTTGACCTTGAATAATTTTTTTAGCACACGTAGGATGGGTGGGGATTTTTGAGATATTATTCATAATATTGTACTTAATACTTGTGCCAATGTTCAGCTCTATGCGAATTATTGTTATTTGAAATTTCAAAGTAGAGCTTTCTAATGAGTTTTCAATATGATGTCTTATTGTAAAAAATTGGATTTTGGTCAATATCTCGAAAAAAACACTGAGAACGTCACTGAATGTATATCCGGTTTAGTGATATTAGGGTCCGTTACATTACCCCCCCGCCCCGGTTTTCCAATAGGTTTCAATTTTTTAGCACCCTTTTGCACCCATCTAGCACCCAACTTACGCACAACCCCCAGCGAGTTATAGCTAGTTTTTACCGGGAGGGGCTAATGTAACACGAGCCTCCCCCCCCCGTTTGCATATTTCTGTTGAAACTTTAACACTGTCTACTATACACCTAGCACCCAACTTACAGGGCTAGCACCACACCCCCCAACGAGTTATAGAACATTTTTATTCTCCTGAAATTACATGGAATTCCCGTGGAATAACTCAAGATTTAGGTGAAATTCTGAAATAATATGAAATTCTCGTGAAATTCCGAAAAGTTCTTGTGTGAAATTACTTAATACTTTAGCAATATTCCTGTAGAGTAAATCGGAATTTTAGTGGAATTTAAAAAAAAAAAATGTAAAATTCCAGAAAATTTCTTTAAAGTTGCTTGGAATTCCCGTGCAATTGAAAAAAAAAAACCTTCCTACGGAATAACTAGAAATTCCATAAAATTTCCATGAAATAATGTACTTGAAATTCCGAAAAAATCCTGTAAAATTACTCGAAATTCCAAAAAATTCTTCTGAAATTTCTTAGGTAATTTTACTGAAATAAAATTACTTGAACTCTTCCTGAAATTATTTGGAATTCTAGCAAAATTTGAAGAAATTCATGTGAAATAAATCGAAATTCCAAAAAATTCACAAGAAACTACTTAAAAAATCGTATAAATAATTATAAAATTCCAAAAATAGTTATTTTTTATACAAGACGATAAAATGGTAGTTTATCGTTGACCGGAAAAGTTAATCACGAGCGGAATCGCGAGTGAATTAATTCCGGGAGACGATAATGGGATTTTATCGTCGTGTGTAAAACAAAGTTTTTTTCCATAGCCTAATTATGGACGCCTGTAGTATCAAAAATATTTAGAAATTATTTGAGTCGAACACTTTTACATAAGTAGAAATTCGTTTGACAAACTTTGACAAATAAATAAAAAACAAAATATGTATATATTTTTGACAAAATAAACGTCTTCATCTATCCTTGCTGTTAAAGTATCATTTAATCTACCCTTTCGGTTAAAGTACTACTTTATCTACTATTTTTAGTAGATTAAAGGCTACTTTACCAGTAGCTACGGGGAAAAAAAAAAAAAAAAAACGTTAAATTATTTTTCAAATTTCAGCAAAAATACCAAGGAAGTTTTATGAAATAACTCAAAATTTCAGTGGAATTTCAGAAAAATTTACTATGAAAAATACTCATGAACTATCAAAAAGTAATTTTTGAAATTACATGGAACTCCAAAAAATTCCTGTGGAAATACAGAAAATTTCTTTGAAACTAATTGAATTTTTAGTGGAATTCCGAAGAATTTTTGGGGAATTCTGGTGTGCAATTTATGAACATTCTATGAACATTCCTGGAACATTCTATAATAAGAATTTCAGTGGAATTCTGAAAAATTCTTATAAAATTACACGAAATTCTCATGAAATATCAGAAAATTACTATGAACATTCCTAAAACATTCTACGAACATTCCCGGAACATTTTATAAACATTTCCCGAATATTCTTCAAAAATTTTCCAAAAAAAAAAACTGTTGAAATATTCCTGAAACATTCTATAAACATTCTTGGAACATTTTATGAACATTTCTAAAATATACATTGCAAATTTTTCAAAAAAAAAAAACATGTTGAAACATTTCTGGAACATTTTTGGAACATTTTATTAACATTCCTAAAATAGAGGAATGATTTCAAAAATATATTGAAATATTTTTGTCCTGATGGGACATTCTACGAACATTCCATAAACATTCCTGGAAGGGTAGGTACCCTCTTTGAATTCTTCAGCATTTGTAGTTCCTATTAGGCTCTAAATGGCCTGTAATTTACAATATTATTCCCAGATTTATAGCTTTTGAGTAAATTCAGTTTGAAGTTTTTGACAAAATTTGGAACAAAAGTCAACTTTAAGGGTCAATTGCTCAAAAACTATTTAAGCTATCAAACTCAATTTGTACGAATTTATAGAGAATTTAATGCTCTTTCCAATGATATATATTTTATTTCAATTTCCTTTATCATTTTCAAAATTGAGCAAAACTGATAATTAAAAAATTCAGTTTCTCATAAGGGTACTCCCTTTGAATTTTGATTTCAAAATATTTAAACCTCAATTGCTAGATAACCGTTGAACAAATTGCATTGAAATTAAATTTGAAGCTCTTAATGAGCTCTAAATGACTTGTAATTAACAATATTTTCAGATTTATAGTTTTTGAGCAAATTGAGTTTGAAGTTTTTGACAAAATTTGGACTAAAAGCAAATTTTGAGGCTCAATTTCTTGAAAACTATTTAAGCTATCAAGCTCAATTTTGCACAGATTTATAGAGAATTTAATGCTCTTTCTAATGATATATGATTTATTTCAATTTGCTCGAAATATACCAGAGATATATGCAATTGCTCATGACCATGTCAAGATTTTGAGAATTCTCCAGAGCCAAAAATAGGATTTTTTTTTAGTTTTGTTTCTGCTTAAAATGGCCATTTGGAATTGATGTCAGGGTTGTCTTTCACTAATTTTGACCTGCTCTATCGATTGGTAAAGTCAAAATTGAGCAAAACTGAAAATTAAAAAAATCGAGTTTTTCATAAGGGTACCTCGTTTGAATTCTAATTTCAAAATATTCTAACCTCAATTGCTCGGTAACCGTTGATCAAATTGCATTGAAATTTTCAGTATTTGTAACTTTCATTAAGCTCTAAATGGTCTGTAATTTACAATACTCCCAAGCTTATAGTTTTTCAGCAAATTGAGTTGTAGTTGTAGTATAACATACCCAGGTTCGTTCAGTAAGATTGAACGATGAGAATTTTTATTACCTTCAAAAACAACAAATCTTCTGAAAAATGAAATAGGACCTACATTGTGGAAACTTACTCAATTTTACTTACTGAACATGCGCCCGACATAGCAAATATTTGGGAAATTTCAGGGAAGTTGTGATATGTAAAATAAACGAAAAATTTGTGAAACGTCTCCTTCATTATCAAAGAAAAACGTACCGTTCTCGACCTAGAATTCTCGAGGGAAAAGAGAACGGCAGAGAAAACCTCCATCTAAAATTCCACAAAAATCGAAACATACTGTGTCATTTTATTAATAATTGTGAGTCATTAATTCAATAAAAGCTGAAACTAGGTACCGCCCCTGTTCTTGTGCTAAAATTTTAATTACACACACTACATTCAATCAACACTACCTATAATCAAAACTGAAGAGTTTTTGGTTAGTTAGCCGGTCTGCCGGAAGGTACTGAGGTCCCATACGGGATGCTACCCAGCTATAGTTGTTTTTGAGCCAAGATCTCTAAATTTATTTTTCTCAATTTCCTAGGATATTCTCTCGTCAGGGTAGGAAAATGTTAGTAAATTCAACAAGGTTCTAATGCACGCTCTGAATACGCAAAATCGAAATCTCAGCACAAAAAGACAGCACATAATTTCTTAGGTTTTAATTTACTCTTTATCTATGTTGTTTACAGCATGAAACGATTTTGATAAAATACATGAACAATGCACATGTTATAAAAAATGTTATAAATACACAAAAATACATAAAAATGAACAAAATAATAGGAACTTGCATAAATTGAACTCTCAAAAACAAAATAACATTAAATCCACTAACCTGTGAACTCTCCTTACGCACACACACTAATAACAAATTGGATTGAACAATCAATTTTAATGCAAAATAGAAATGAAAATTGAATAATGAATAATTACAGACACGCGACACGTTTTCTAAGGGACAGGGCCAGCGCGTTCTCCATTCTAATGCCTAATCGCTTTCTCCTTACCTACCGTTCGGTTTGGTACCCTCGTTGTCCCTTAAACCTAAACTCTGTGGCGCAGTACATGGTTGC